ATTGCTTTTGGGTCAGTTTGCAACACCCATAGGCACGTGTATATGTGTCTGCACTGATTAGAAAGGCGCTTTGGGTACCCTTACAAGGTCTTCGACAAATTCGAAGCTGTTGAAGGATTGCCACCAAGCCCTCAATGGACTTGGGATCTAAACCCTACCGATTACTGAAGGCACGATTGGTCTGATCCACAGTTGCTGTGCCATGTTATCTTATTTTTATTATGCTAATGTTAAAATAAAATAATAAAATAATTCGAAGTGGTCTGTATTCTGTAGAAACTGCCAGACGCGGATCGCGATTTCGATCATTTTGAATCTCATCAGTGCGTCGCAGGCAGCTCCGACAGAACACAGACCAACTTTTACCTGCTGCCTTAACAGAGCGTTTTAGAAAATACCACAAATGGCGCAGTAAACGCCATCTGTAGTACGATGCTACATTTTAGGATTACGTATGCTTCAACAAGGTCCGTTTAAATATATGGATATCTACTTGCTGAAACGAATCCCGGCTCACCTCAACGTGGTAAGCATGTTACCATAATCGAATAAACTAATTCGAAGTGGTCTGTATTCTGTCGAAACTGGCAGCAGACGTTGTTGGAGCATACGTAATCCTAAAATGTAGCATCGTACTACAGATGGCGTTTACTGCGCCATTTGTGGTATTTTCCATGCTGATGTTAATTTTCCATTGTTTCATAGAGCGGTATATTATTACAAATTATCATTCAACTTGAAGGGTTAACGCTTGATTTTTTTCTCTTTTTTACATTTCCATGAACCATTGCCTGTTGCTAAAGCAACATAGACTTAATAAATATGGTATAAAACTCTCAGTACGCGAGTATAACTCGCATTTATTTCAGTTTTTTTTAATTAAACACTAGGCTGTCTGAACTAGTTAGTCCACAAATGTCGTGTGTGAGAGACCACCGAGTCATATTTAAAGAAACATCATGCATAAGCTGTAAGAAAATAGACTCAAATGACGAAGCAGATTTCAAATGCTGTGTTCATCAATTTTTGACGAATTTGAAGTTATGACGCTATAATATGTAAAGAATTGTTATTCCCATTATAATATTAAATATAATGCCATGTGATAGATGGAGTTTCTAAGTACATATCATATGAAAAATTCAATGTGGCGCATAGCGGACGTTATGTGGATGGCATGTTCTAGAAAATGAAGTCAAATAAAATAGGAAGGCAGATGGTTTCAAGAGCAAGTATGAGGAGGGAGGGTTGGAAAAGCCTTCCCAGAAGGGAGGTGCGGAAACCAAATAAATTAAAATGAAACAATTTTTGAGGTTATTCTATGGAATTTTTCCATTTTGAATATATTCAGTACCCTGTGTTTTAATAAACGGTACGGGAAGGAGATGAAGGGGAATAGGTTAGGTTGGGTTATTAGAGTGACCTCAATACATTTTCTGAATAATTTCATTGTAAACAATACACGTATGGCCAGGTAATAATAGTAAGAGAAAATTCCGTCGTCGATATTACAACAATGATGTTGAAACATGAAACCGTGCTGATGTAAATTTTGTTTTTACGAGAAATTACGAAAGTGGATTAGCGCTCCCGTGCCGTTTTATTCGAAACATATCCTCGCAGTGGTAGTTGCCCGCGATTTTCTGGCAAACAGCTCGCAATCATAATGACCCATTATTAAAGTTAACCGGTTTAATTCGCCAACTTCCTGCAGCCTCGCTTTCCGAGCTTGGAAACGTAAATGAGGCGGAAAGCGGAAAATGGAAAACGGTCGTTTTCCATGTTCACGGGAATCGCGTGGATATAACACTCACCTGCCGTCGTTTGTTCTTTCGAGTATGAAATTGTTACGGGTGGGTCATGGAGGTCAACTACCAGAGAAATGCAAAGGTATACCATACCACACCCTAACACGGAAACTGCCCAACCAAATGCTAATAGGCAAAAGAATAAGTGATATAGCAGCAAGGGTTACTATTAGTGATATGAATATTCGGTTATTATTCGGTATTCGGCCGATTCGATCACTTTTCTTAATATTCTGCATTCTGCCGAATATTACGCAATATTCCAATTCATCGAAGAAAAAAGACGCATATATTACTCAAAAATTTGTTATGGTGAATAAAAATAAATTTTTCGGCATTTGTCGGGAGTAAACAATTGCGTTTCTCTTCGTAAATCACTCCTGCTTCTTAAAAAAGCTATTCACTGTACTCAGTACTAGTAGGGGCTGTTTGCCGAATATTCGGCGCTTCGGTCGAGAGCGTGGCCGAATATTCGGTATTCGATGTTCGGTATTCGGCCAAATCAGGATTCGTTGCATCACTAATTACTATTATTATCGAATTTACATTTATGTTGAGAAAATTGATACTAATTGGATGTAACGTAATGCCTTTTCTATCCTATTATTATAGTCGGTAAATAATTAATTTATGTCAGTTCTGGTCAGACAAGGATACACACTGTCGCTCCTACTTTTCAATCTGTATATCGAAGACGCGATAAACAAACAATACAGATAAGCTGTCTTTTATTAGATAACTATATGAATGCTATTATAAATATATATAGGCCCACGTAATCAAGCCTTAAATATAGAATAAAGGAGCATGCATACAACTATTATGGACTGCAGATATAAATAATATTGTAGCGACCACGAGCGTGATTGTGTGCGAACGAGCATACGTGTGTGTGAGCGGCTTATCGATTCGCCGACTAGCCGCGGGCGCTTTTCTACATGTGCGCCGTATCTGTAGACGTGTGTGTCGTACCTGCGTTCCGGGAAAGCAATTAAACCGTTCAAAGAAAACGAGACTTTTCTGGACGGCTGGAGAATGTTCCCGAAAGGAGGCAAGGGAGTATAAAAAGGAAGAGACGATCGCCGAAGTACAGGAGGAATAAATTGACCGTTGCAGAGGTGAATCAAGAGATAAATTGAAAGTGATAGAAGTGAAATAAATAGAACAGTGAATAGTAACAGTAGTGTAAATAAATAGAATAATTACCTAAGTTTAGTAATAAATTAATAGTGTTTTTAAGTCCTTCAATAATAAGTAGTGTAAATAAATATTTTTCTTCTTAAAATTTAATTTGTTAAACCCACGAACATTACAATATTTAATTATTTTAATTGACTAAAGCAAATAATTGAATTTAATGGAAAAATTAGCAAATTAATAAATCATTATTGGGAGTAGAAGATATCAATTATAACGAATTATGTGTCTATAAATAATAAACCCTCGCATTTTCCGGTAATCAGTGAATCATAATCAATACAATGTTCGGAAATTCCTTTCATGATAGTCGTTTCATTTGCGTTTCTGTATGTACGTTTATTTGACTAGAAAGTAACAATGTTTCATCGCGAATGCATTATAATTGATTTATACTTACATAAAAACGCGGATTCACGTGTTTATTGTAGATTGTTTTAACTAAGAGCAGAAGAACATCACAACTTTCGAAAATCACTAAAGGTGTTTTCGGCCCATTTCATATTTTTGCTATCATTGATGTGTAAAATACAATCAAAATGCCAATTTACTATCAACACTTTCTCGAAATAAATAAAAGTAAATTGTTGATTAAGAACTTAATTAATTTGGTTTAACACATACACAGGGTGTTTCTGAAATATATAGAAGCTCAACAGGCGGTGACAAGGCATTATAAAATAAGAAAAATAAGTAATTGTGATTGACGATGTCTATGTTATAGCCAGCTTAGAACAAAATTTTTTTTTCGAAGTTGTAGGCTTTATATGTATGTAGTTAGTCGAAGTCATTGGCACTAGGTCAACGTGCCAGTGTCATAGAATAGTATTATTACATTGACCAGTGCGTGAGTTTCTAGCCGAACAGTTTTCTAGACGCTGGTGGATGTACTTTAATCGGCGCTTAGTCCAGATTTAAATCCGCTTGACTACTTTGCATTGGGTTGTATGGAACGTATATTTACCAGTTTTTATCATTGGGTTGTAGTGTAGGGACATGTGTGTGTTTGTTTTTCTAATGAGGGGATATGGCTATTGACGAACTACCCATACGAAAAGGGTAACGCACCTTAACAATACCTCACTGCTGATTTGGAAATTTAGCCTACAATTAATAAAATTACAATTATTACCTCTCCAGAGATTAATTTATCTGTTAATGTTTACGTAACAATTTTTTATTGTGTTCTTAATACCATGTCGAGGTTTATTTTAAATAATACTATATACTATCAGTGATGAACAAAGTAATTTAATTAATTTTTATTGTAATGGAGTCTAAACAATTTTATGTGTAGTATCGCAGTAGTAACCTATTATTAGTCTTTCCACAACTTTCAGTGTTTACATTCTCCATTTATATAGCTGCTTAGTTGTTATCGCAATTTCATTACACGACCGTTTTCTTTTGGTTTTGTTGCTTGTCCCTTAACCACTCTCCTTTACTTACCATGCGAGTCTCTATTGCACCTGGTTAACACTCTCCAATGCTTGTTATTTATTTATGAAACGCCCTGTATAAGCCTTATTGGTCGCATATCCAATTTGGCAAGTACTTACCTAAGATCCTTACCATGCATTTGAAATACTACTATCAGTTCGATAGATGGCGATATGATGCCCTTACTTATTATTTGGGCAATCAATTAAAGAATGGGTACAATTGTCCAAACTAACCATAATATAATAATACAAAATGGCAACTGACAAATAATAACTTTAGGACCACAGCTGTGGTGTGATATAACGATGCTTTTTACTTTTCTACTCTTGGCTGCTTGCTTTTTCATTGCTACCAACTGTTCACGCGAGCACACTTGCGTCTCTGGCGGTTGGCAGCAGAAATTTGTGCAGAACGGCCAGATTACCTTCAAAGAATGTTCTGCTCGATGATTTGTAAAATGTCATTTTAATGTTAATATATCATTTCATCGGCGGTAATTTTGTTTATTTTGTAATTTGTTCTAAATTATGACCGAGTTTCTTTTTGTTTCAGGAACACTGGCAACTTCCCACCAAATACTTTTTTTCGAATGTTTAAGTGAAAATATAAGATCAACAACTGGTTAAAATTTTATTCTTCATAAAATGAAACATTCGTAAGGTGAGTGGGCACCCTCTTTAGTGGTTGTTATTACATATTATTGCAATTGTGGTGCAGGTGTATTATTTGTTAATATTTTTATTTTTTTGAATAAATTTGTTCTTAGTATTTACATCTACGCATATTGGAGGCTACCGTGGAACACAGTATAACTTTATAAGGAAACATTGTTTACATATTCTCAGTTTTGATTTAAAATATAGAGAATATGAAACATTCATGTAAATGAATCAAGTTTTTATCGCCATTAAAGCTATACTTTGTTAGGTAATTTAGACACTACAGAAAAAAATTTCTGTAGAAACACACACATACTATCACGAGGTAAATTGTTACATAAGATTTTTTGTTAATTATTTATTTTAATTATCTGATTATGTGTTTTTATTATTTTGTCGTGACTGGGCGTAAGGTATTAAAATGATAAGAAAGGCGAGATTGGAAAACAATAACAACTTTATTATATAGTAAAGTAAAATAGATATGAAATTTGAAAAGACACTAACTACAAATGGATTTAGAGTCAGTTGTAAAGTAATTTAGATAGATAACATTACAAATAAAAACTGAACAAAAACATTTATAAGAAGGATCCTCTTCTCAATGCAGATCAATACACCTTAAATGTTAACAAAATCGCATACGTTGATGGGATCGTTAGAATCATCTTGACCAGGAGCTAGTGCCACAAACACTTAGGGTTTCTTAGCGGTTATCCATTCAGGATAGAGTCTTTTTGTTAACGCGTTCCCGAGTCTACTGTCTGTGATTAGACCATCGATCCCCGTTCACGCGCTAAACTTATTGTTGAATCAATGATTATTTGTACATAGTTCAACATGGGTCATTAACTGGTTCTAGAAGTTTCTTTGATTTAGCTGATTTGGTGTAAAACTGATGAAATTTCCGGTACTAACTTGGTTAAAAATCCTCTTTGTCTTTTTCGATGACTTCGTGAAGTTCTATAATTAAATACAATAACTAAATACAGTAACCAGAATTATCGAGCTCCTGTTAATTTCTGTTTGTACTTAGATAATTCTTTGAAAAAATTCTTTTCGCTTACTGTCTAGTTGCTGCAGAATGCCAATGCAGTTTTATAGTACTAAACATGTGCAGCGCACCCACATCATTTCACCACAAGCCGGCACTTCGACAACGAATTCACTACATTTAAATTAGAAATGTATTTTACTGGAATTATTGAATATGTATTATTCATGAATTTTAGTGGAATTGCTCAGTGGAAGTCTACTTTAAATTTTTGTTGTCGTTTCCTCTTTATCTCATCATTTTGTATTTATTTAATGCCATTTAGGCCAGTGTCCTTTAGGTGTTCAGAAATTTAAATACTGTTTCATACGATTCGGTGAACTGGATCGGTGGAGTATTGATCGCATGAAACTTCCCAATAATCCTAATTAAAGGGTTGTAAGTCTTTGTTGTTGATTGAACAACACTGTAAGAATATACAGTGTCTTCCAATCGGCGTACAATACAGAAAACTAAACGGAGAATAGACAATAGAGCGGTAAACAGAACGGTGAATGAAACGAAACGCGCAGCTTGACTGTCACTCTCCTGTTTGGTGCTGATGGCACGCTTCTTGAGGTTGGAAATGTGGTGAGACAGAGAAAGACAACATAGAACCATTAATAACGGACAAGAGAAGGAAAGGTGAGTAGTGGTCGAAAATGCAGAAACTGCAGGTTAAGTAAATAAAGGAATAAGATGTAGAGAGAGACGATGAAATGGAAAACGAGGTATTATGGTTTGTGTTAAGGCATTTAAAGAAGATTGAAACTTGAAAACAAGTAGTAATAAGAAAAAGGTTCATGGAAGAGACAGGCAGTTTTTCTGAGAGAATTTTAGAAAAGTAGCACATTTGTTTCTTTCATGACGAGTAAGCGCTCTCGTATCAGTTTCAGTATTCAGTTCAAGTTTGTGAAATCTGTCCATAAACAGGGTTACGTGTAGGTTAAGGTTATAAGTGTTAAGTTTTGCATATAGTGTTGTTTTTTTTTAACGCAGCAAGAGTATTTCATTTGACCATACAAGTCCATTGGTTATCCTGAGCTTACGAAATGATATTGTAATGTTCGTGGGTTTAACAAATTAACTTTTATGAAGAAAACTATTTATTTACACTAATTATTATTTAACTTAAAAACACTATTAAATTATTACTAAACTTCGGTAATTATTCTATTTATTTCACTTCTATCACTGTCAATTTATTTCTTAATTCACTTTTACAACGGTCAATTTATTTCTCGATTCACTTCTGCAACGGTCCATTTATTTCTACTCCTGTCTCGGCAATCGTCTCTTTCTTTATATACTATATACTCTTTTGTGTCCTTTCTGGAACTTTCTCGAGCAGTCCGGAAAAGTCTCGTTTTCTTTGAACTGTTTAATTGCTTTCCCAGAACGCAGGTACGACACACACGTTTACAGATATGGCGTACATGAAGAAAGGCGCCCGCGGCTAGTCGGCGAATCGATAAGCCGCTTACACACACGTATGTCCGATCGCACACAATCACGCTCGTGGTCGCTACAATGTGTAGCGAATTACGCACGCATTGCTTGTGTTGTGTATATTCAAATAATTAGTAGGTTAACCTACGAAATAGTGAAATTCAACAAAAATCAATAGTACCTAATTTTAGCTCCCTTTGGGATAACGTTTCTATAAAAGCGTTGTTTTCTGTGGAGAATATAGAAAGGTATAATAAGATTTTATATTTTATCGTATTCTGTGATACAAATACGAATAAAAATTTTCACTTTCATCTGAGTTTATCTGTTCGAAAGCGATTGATTGAATAAAGTGCCCTTGGGGGTGATTTCTGCCGAAAAGGGAAGCGAAACTCATTTTGTAAAGGTGGGGATAGAATGTTCCTCATTTTAAAATCTATTTTTTTCCGAATGTTTGCGGTTATTGGAATTTCAGGAACGCAATTTTGTTTTTCTCATTAGCCCAGCATTCTTAGACCCATTCATTTATTGATAGAATTAGAGAAAATTTAATTGAACCGAATGAAATGAGCTGACATACGACCACGTTCTCCTATTAACATTATTTTTATTAAATGCTGACGGTTACATGAACAATTAAATAAGCAGTTCCCGATTATTAAAATGTACCTAGCTAGTACCAGTGAAAGTACCAAATTATTGAAATTGGAGCTATAGATAATGCTAGAAACTACTACAGTATTTTTTTTTAAACGTAAATGCTTATGAAATGTGATAAAGATTTGAAGCTAGCTTTAGGAAACCTTATGAGTCCTTGTTTTGATCATAGAAAAGGGCATTTAAACATATCAGCTGTCAAAAATATATTCTGCAGTTCATTAATTTGTAGCAATTCCATATGAGAAAGGCAGAAAGAATACAACCTGGAATAGACAAAAATTGCCACGTGATGTACAGGCGAAAAGAGTTTGGGAAACATTGATACAGTCTATTTCAATTTGTTAGAATTGTGACCTTGAAGAAATCCGCGCGAAGATAGAAAGAATACACACTAGGCGTGAGCAAGACAGATATAGTTGAAACAAGCTTGAACGAGCAGAGCCCCGATGGGCGGTCTCAGGAGATCGGCTAGAACTGTACAGTACTATACGAAAATGGTTAGCAATTTGTTAAAACAAAAATGTATATAAATTAACAATAGAAAACAAAGCAAAAAATTTATAGGTGTATAGAACGTTAAATTAATTCACTTGTTATTATTTTTGGCTAAATATACTTTTAAATAAAGCATATTCTTAAATTTTAACGAGGCAGTTTAAAAAATTTTGCAAATGGTACTGTACACTTTTGTCTAGTTCTCGCTCGATGATCGGTGGAGAAATGAGCTCCGCAGACAAATATGATTGAATTTTGAATTATGCTACGGCGCATCCTGATAAAGGGAAGGGACATATCTCCAACTTCTTGATACGAACAGTAAAAGGAAATCATTTTTTCATGAACGTGACTTTTAACCTTGTAATGACGTGATAGCCCATGTGTATCGACGTTTGTATTAACTTTGCTGCCTATTTCATTATTTGTCAATGTCACGAGCGCTGTAGGTAACAATTGAGGATTATTTCAAAAAAATTTGTTGTCATATGGAGTCTTCATTCTTCAACAATGCGAGGGATTTGCACAGTTCATTAAAAAAGTTTAGAAACTAATTTTGTAACGAAAAAATAAGAATTTGACTGCGTTGTTCATACTGCCGCTGAAACAACTTTTAGAACTCGTTTTTTGGAATCACATTCCACTCAACGGCCTCTTTAATTCTTTAAAACATTCTTTCTCCATTGCGAAGTCTGGCGAAGCCATATTTGGGGCGTAGGGCTTGTGATGAATAATGGCTGCCGATATTTGTGTGACGAGTATCGAGGAAATGGGTTTTTCGCGAAAAAGGAGGGAGTTACCGCACTGATGCGGTACAATTCCAATCAGTGACGAGCAAAGCAAGACGAAGACTTCCCGTCTTGATATTGGTTTTGGTAGCTTGGTCTTGCTTTTTGTTTTGCTTAAATACTTGTAGTCTTGACCTTAGACTTGCTGATATAATCTCGGTCTTGGTCTTCGTCTTGCATGTTAAGTCTCGGTTTTGCTCATTTAATCTGATACAATGGTTTATTTAAATAATTTTTTTATGCTCAAATTTTTCATTTTTACTTTCACAATTGTGTTACTTTTGTCACATGATTTACACAATCCGGAAATATCGTCCTTTAAATCGAAAAAAATAAATTGAAGTAGTCTGTATTCTGTCGAAGCTGCCAGACGCGGATCGCGATTTCGATCTTTTTGGATCTCATCAGCAGGTCGTAGACAACTCCGACAGAACACAGACCAACTTTAACCTGATGTCTTAACACCACGTTTTATAAAATACCACAAATGGCGCAGTAAACGCCATCTGTAGTACCGCGTCTAGCAGTTTCGACAGAATACAGACCACTTCGAATTATTTTATTCGATTATGGTAA